TTAAAAAGGCCATCCTGCAAAAAATACCATTTGTGCAAAAGAAAATGGAAAAAAAAAAAAAAAAAAAAAGCAAAAAAAAAAAACTTTTTTTTTTTTTTCCCCCCCCTCCCCCCCCCCCCCCCAAAAAAATCGCCATGAAAATTTTCAAAAAATGCCCAAAGCCGTGAGCCAATGCCGTGATGTGACGATGATCAAAGCGAGGACGTGTAAAGAAGTACACAGGTCTCTATCCAGATATCGAGTTCCATATTTTCCATTTGGGAAAAAAAGTGAAACATTGGCTGGTCTGACAATGACAATGACGATGCAAGTAATTCATGATTTCTTTTGCGCATGTGCTTATCGGCGTCCAAAATTGCAAATCAGAAGATGTTGTTTTTTCTGATACATTGATTGCTCGTTGGAAGCAGCAAAATGCAGTCGTCAAGTTCTTGTCGTGTACTTCGTTGCATTGTCACGAGGCAGTTCCCCCTAATTGTAACGAACAACCGTAGTCAAGCTCCAACTAATTGAATAGCATAAAGCCGCGCATAGCTCGATGCTGCTGCCACAGTTGCCGTATCCCTATTTTGAAAGAAAAAATTGGTAGTGACAATGCATTACTCATAGCAGCCCACCTGGGGGGTGCCAAGGCCACCAGCATCGTAAATCATGAAAAATATCTCATGAGGGCTGCCGCCCAGCAGAGTATATGCATGGCTCATAAAGAATCATCAAGATGTGATTGTGAAGCGGGCTTGCCACTTATCCTCTTGTATAACCCTTGGCGTAACCTCTTCTCCTTTTTCCTTTTTCGTATCTTTTTTTCTGTGTCTTTTGACTTGTGCGAGACTAGTTGAATATAGACGCGGCCTCAAGAATTTTCAAAAATGCCGAGTTCTGAATCAAATAGTCGCTGTTCTGCCCACCCTCCAAGTGGCCCCCCTTAGAAACCTGTTCCCGAAAGCCACAGCCCTGCATCTGCGCAATGATATGAGCCGCCGCATCACACGACATGGTCTGCGGCGCTTCAAAGTCATCACTCGGCGAGGGGGCATTCATGTGACTCGAGCTTGGTGTGACGGGCCCCGTGCTGGGCCCCGTTGTAGAATCGTCCGAGGTAATGGTGGTGTCTGAGTCGTGGCCAGAGGTGGAAGCGCTGCTGCCATTCTGCTGCTGCATGCTGGCACTCGCCAAAACGGCCAGCTTATCAATGTGTGCGTGCTCGGGAAACAGCGTCGCAACCGTCGACGCACGCCCCAGACTGGCAATGCTCTCGGCCGTGGCAATCTTTGCGGCGTACTGCTCGGCCTCGGCGGCGTCCTGGCCCTTGAAGCTCTGCAGGAAGCTCTCGACGGCTTCGACGCCGATGCCGCTGTGGGCGAGCAGCATCTTGAGGCGCGAGTTCTCAATGGCCACGTCGCGCGCGGCCTGCTGCATCTCCAGCGTCGCGGCCACGCCCTTTGTCTCAAAGTCCTGCAGCTTCCTCTGCATGCCCTCGACGTATTCTTTCCGGCGGGCCCGGGACCGGCGCTGGTTTTCTCTGATGCGGATCGCTGCAGCACTTGATTTGGCTGAGCTGTCGGTTTCCTGCTGCATGATTGTCAACAATTAAGAGACAAGATTGAGTGGTGGTGGTGGTTTTCGATTTGGTGTGGAAAGGTGCAGATTTGGCGGGAGAGAGTGAGAAGTGAGAGTGTGTGAAAATTTGGTGACATGCTGCACAAAAAAAGCGTGGGGGGGCCAGTGACATGTAGAAAAAAAGAGAGGGAAAAAGACATACCTTTGCTCTGGGCATTGTGCAAGTCAATTGGATAAAAATGCAATGCACATAAAAAAAAAAAAAAAAAAGACAATACAAGAAAATGAAATGGATGTGAATTGCAATTGAAGGAGAAAAAGAAATCAAGACTCAATTGCAACTGTGGTGGGTGTTGACAAAACTCATGCAGAACGAGTTCAGTTGACAGAAAAAAATAGCACAAGAGGGAAAAGAAAGATTTTTGTCAGCAGCACAAAAAGTCGCGTGCGCGCTTCCAGGCCATGACAAGTCCCATCCACTCACTGACACTAACAGAACAGCAGCACTACAGCGACACACTACACCAGCAGATTCTTTTTCCTCCTCTCCCTGCTCCATCGTCTGCAGTAACAAACACCGAATGGGACCTGAGCAGAAAAAATCTGTCACTAAAAGGCACCGCCAGCTCCACCGTCGTGGCTCCAATTACGGAGCCGCACTTGCGACCAAACGGGCAATAACGTCTGCAGGCTAGCGAGGCACAAAGCTGCGCGTCATCGTCTATTCAGGCCGTGTCATTCGTCTCTGCAGAAGCTGTGAGATCCGGGGAGGGACGATCAATTCGAATTGGGTGGCCATCATCATGTGCCCATGGAATTGGTGTCTATCTATGGCAGTGTAAGTAAGGATTTGCAGTAGCAGTAGAAAAATAGTAGTAGCGGTTAGTCTTGCAGTGACAAACAAAACAAGCCGTCTCTCTTTTAGTTCAAGACGATCGCCTCCATATTTCATAATAAAAAAAGAAAAAGCAACCGAAAATTCCAAAACGCCATCCCGCAATTGGTCCCTTGCACCCGCTTAATGCCGAATAAAAGAAGAAAAAATAGGGAAAAAAAAAGAAAAAGAGGCCACGCTAGCATGTCAAACCAAGCGCCTTTTTTTTTTTCACCGAAACAGCCTGTTCCGCGTCCTCGTTGAAAATCTTTCCACCCCAGTCCCCTGCTGCGCGTGCCACAATTGCTGAACCCCTACTCCTCGACTCTCGTGAGACACTTTGTAGCGCCGCCAAGCCTCTCGCAAATGGTCCGGTCGGAGTGGACCCCGCTTGAGGTCGACCTCTTCTTCGTTGTTGTCTGCTGCTGCTACTGCTGCCTCCCCGTTCGACGGCGGCGTTGGCAGGTCACTCTGCTTCTCTCCGGACAAAACCCATTCGGCCTGGACGTTTCTTGCACCCTCGATGATCTCTCCGGCAAAGAGCTTGGCCACTGCCTTGACGGCCGTGGCCACCATCTGCGGCACCGATTGTGAGACGGTTGCATTGACAACCTAACCATGTCAGCTCATCATCCATCACCTCGTTTTGTTTCTTCTTCACTTACCCTCTTCACAACCGCATCACTCAACTTCGCCGCTCGCCAAAACTCATACCGATCATACTGCAACGGATCAAACGCCTCCACGAGCATAGCCCTCAATCTTATTTCCTCCTGCTTCTGCTCCTGTGTCCGCGCGACCGCATCCTCCAGTGCCATCTCCGCCTTATCATCATCCTCATCATCCTCCAGCTCCTTATCCCCGCCCTGCCCACTCGCCGCCGTAGGTGCCTTGCCTCCCACAAGGCTGGGCGTCTTTTCCGTAAAATCATCTCCTCCCCCCTTTGCATTCTTCGTCCTCCTGCCGCGCTTTTTTCTGCCTGCCGTCGCGCTGACCACGCTGCCGCTGACGTGGGACGTCGCATCGACCGACGGCGACCTTGGGTACGGCGAGCCCGAGCCGGCCTCTGGCGGGAACGACGTCTGTCTCAGGGGGTGGATCGGGGGCTGCGAGACGACGGAGCTCTTTCTGCGCTTTCCGGGCGGCATGTTCACGTCCATCGTCGACGTTCGCTTCTTGCTTGTGATCTGGATCGGTGACGGGTACGGAGGCGACATGGCCGACGGCGACGCGGCATATGGAGGGGACGCCATGTTTTCGATGATTGCTGAGCGCTGCTGACGAGATAAATTATGCGCTGATGCCTCCGATGGCGATTCGAGAGCTTCTGTGAAGGAGCTGCAGCTGAAGATGCCGATAGAAGCCCAACCTTGCGATTGCGATAACGCAACGCGTTGAGCGGGATGTCACGTGAGGCAAAGCTCCGCACCTCCTTCACTTCCAGATCGCAGAGCAGCCACGCAGTGACTAAGCTCTATCAGGAATAATCAAGCTGATATCAAAACTGTAGAAGCATGTGAAGGACATCTCATAAACTACAAGGTACTATCAACGTTCCCATTCAAAACACACTTCATCAATTGAATCTCGCATTATATTCTCTGAAAGTAGTAAGTAGTTTTTCTTCTACTTGATGAAACGCAATTACAATTATCAAGTCGAGCGCAACTAGAAACTCCATTACTAATATTGCACACATGCGCGCATACACATATTCGCCATCCCGGTGATGTGGTGATTTCATTCGTCCCACAGAGTTTGAAAAAGACAAAAAGAAAAGTAATCCCGGCCTCTCTTATATGCGCCAAGAAAGACCATTTTCTCGGAAAAGAAAATGGTGTTGAAAGAAACATGAAAAAACAAAAGCACACTGCGTCCTGGTATTACAAAACAACGTAAAGTCCCTTCCAGGCAGCTCCAAGTACCAGAAACTCCAGATCCCTCCCAAAGCTTGGAGACGAGATTGTATATCCTCTCTCTCAAAATAGTAGTAATAAGTGTGTGGAGAAAAGAAATGAAGCCTTCCCAGTAATAAAGTCGCACTACTCCCCATCCAACATCGCATCCAGATTGTTTCTCTCGCTCTCTAATAAGTCTGCTGTGACGGGTCCGTTCGTCATCGTGATATCTTTCTTCTTTTGGTCTTCGTCTTCGTCTTGATTCGTCATTTCCTTAAACATTTGGTCCACCTTGCTATCGTCGTGTTTCATGCCTTCGTCCATGTCCGCTGGTGTCATGGACCGCCCATGGTCGCTCATAGACCTCTGTCTGTCGTTCCAGATATCGGGTCCCCACATCTTCTCGGCCTTTTCTCTGCCCAGCTCCGTGCGAGCAAAGATTTCAAGAGCCTTGTTCTTGTCTGCTTCCGTCTGTAGATCCATGTCATCTACTTGGCCGTGCAAAAGCCGATCTTCGAGCGACATGGTCGAATCGTCCGCCGCCAAGTGAGGACCTCCGCCTCCCAAGAAGCTAGGATGCAGATTGCTATCTGAATCCGCGGAACCCATCTTGACATCACTATCTGAAGGCGAGTGCGATTTCTCTTCTGGGTGCCCGTGCGAAGTAGCCGAGATGCTCGGAGTTGCCGAGTGCGAGCCGCGAGGGAAGTACGCCGCTGGTCCATATGCCGTATTGTGCGGGTTAGGCACGTTAGGCATGGCTGTCGGCGCGTTAGCAGCAGCGGCTGCCGCTTCCGCATTCGCTGCCTTGCGTCGCAAACTATTAGCCTTGCCTTTAGCATGCTCCGGAAGGTCGTCTGGATTGTCGACTCCGTATTCAACGAGCATCTTCTGCAGCTTCGTGGGGCGAGGTTTGCGCGTGCTCAGCGACACTTGCAAAATCGGCGGCGCTTCCGGCGCAACAGGGCACCACTTGTGGAGTTCTTGGCGAAAGAAGTTGGTCTCGTACGACAGCAGAATCTCTGCGCCTTCCAACTTCCGAAGGAAGAATCGCTGAGTTTCGGCCTCGGCTTCTGTCGAAAGAAGCGGGTTGCAGTACTGGGCAATCTTGTCTCTGAAATTTTGCGCATTGTCAATGATTTGCCTCAGGACCTCCTCTTCTTCCGGTTGAAACGGTAAGCCAAGTATCTCGTCGGCAAGAGAAGTGAGATCTTCAAGCTTGGGTCGAGCCGCGTCCCGAGGAATCTTCATTCGCCAGTCGCATATTGGGCAGGTATACTTGTCGTCCTCTTTGACCTTACCACGGGCGATCTTGAGGCACTTGTAATGATACCTGTTGGCAAACGTCGATTAGCTTTCTTCCATCTACCTCTTTACGGGCACGTATCATCAAGACTTACCATTCATGGCATAATTCACACTCAATCATCATACCAGCCTCAACTTTCCGACAAATACAAAACACCTGCCTGGATCGATCGTCCCACCTGCCAGACGCCGCTTCTGGGCTAGCTTCCCTGGAGACAGGTTCTCCTGGAAGACGTGGAGTGTCATGGTCAGTGTCGAAGCAATCAGTGTTTCGTTCAAGAACGTGTTCCAGATGGCTTTTCAGAATATGCAATGGCGCGTTCGATTTTCCAAATAGCTTTTTGCCCTTGCGCATCCAATCTTCATGTCGCTTTCTTTCATTTTCCAAATCAACGGTGCCAGTCGGCTTGGAATTAAGATCATCGAGCTTTCTAGTGATGTCGACAACTTCCGAGTACTTGGGTCGCTTTCTAAAATCGGGTTCGCGGCATCGCTCGGTGAGGTCAATGATTTGGAGATGCGCCTCGCGTTGCTTGTGAAGTATCTGATCGACAGCGGCCAAGGTCTCGCGAGAAACAGGCAGGATATTAGCTTGTACCTGCGATCTGAGTGCCTCCAACTGAGAATAGTGAACAAATTCAGCGTGTGTCAGTTCTCGGGCCTTTGCTTCCCAGGCTTGGCCCGCAGCCAGCTTGTCGTGGTAGTACTTCAAGTGGTCGTTGTAGCTGGGGATTTCAAGCCGCTTTCCTTCTTCAATGATTTCTTGTACATCCGTCATACCCAGTAACACGGCACGGTTTGACCTAGCCTTCTCATTCCAGCGTAATTCTTCCAGTCTCCGAGATAGAGCTTCTAGCTCTGGGGTATCGATATTGAAGCCGCGTCCTTCTTCGATCAACTCTTCAATTGTTTCCACTGGAGGGGGGACGTTCTGTTTGAGCGCTGCAGAGGCGTTATCTTGGAACAGCTTCAAGGCGGTAGCCCGTTCCTGAAGTTGCGCTATCTCAGGACAGTCGAATCCAATGTGCTCTGCCTCTGCAAGCAGCCGGTAGATATTATCTACGTGGCGGATTTCTTTGTCCTTCTCTTTTGCATCGTTATTGGCGCTTCCTCGGCGTCCAGTGGTTTGCCAAGCTTTCTCATTCTTCCGGCGGTTCTGCTGCTTTCTAACAATGTAATTGGTAGCTTCTTCGACCCAATCATTGCACCTATCAACAAACTCTTTCAAAATAGGCAGAGAAGGAAGCTCAAATGGAATCTTTTCGCCTTCGTGCAAAATAGCCCGCAGAACCTTCAAAGAGGGAGTAGCTTCCTCATCCAGAAGCTTGTCATATTTCTCCTCCCATGCCTCGGGGGTATGTGCTTTGTCAGACGCCTTTTGATACACCAAAGTCATGTCTTCATCGGTTTTCCGGTAGACCAGCGTGTGCTCTTCGCCCAAAAGCCGCTTCTCTTCTGGCACGTCGCAGCAGGGATGGCTTCCGGCGTGGAAAATACATAGGATTTTGCCTGAACGGTGGCACTTGAAACGAGACAGATATGCAAATGTCTTACAATAGCTGCAGCACTGTTCTTCTTCGTCGTGGACATCAGTGTCGTCGATCTTAAACGTGAGAGGGCAAGCGTCTTCGCTCCCCCCGGTGACCTTGCATCGGTGAGGTGATGCTTCGTTATGCTTTGCGAGGAACTCGTCTCTCTGTGCACGTTCACGCTGGCGAATGCGGTCGAGGGCTGGTGCGAGCCATTTTGCTGTCTGAATGGTGAGTCCCGAGGATGCGCTTCCCTCAGCAGCAGTCCATAGCAGTTCATCGTGAGAAAAGCATGGCTGGCGGCGGAACTGCTGCAGTCTTTCCACTCCAGCCTGCCCGAATTTCTCCCAGTCACAGGGGGCAAAATTGACAGCTTCATTGAAGTTGAAGCCGTGATTGAAGCCGGCGTGGTAGGCCTGAGGAAACGTAATGACCAGCTGACCAGCCCTCTGGTCCAATGCGTAGACACGTACACCTGCCTTTTTCAACTGCTCGGGCGTGAGGAGTGTGACCAGCTGAAAGAGCAAGTCTGGCTGAGTCTCGAAGAGCTCTGGCACGGCTTCTTTCATCGCCATCTCAAACTTCTCTGCATCTTCTCCTGGTATGCCATACCACGTCTTCGTCGCTCCCAAGTGTTGATAATTGGCTGAATAGGCGTAATGATCTTCATTGTGCCAACAAAACGTTGAAAAAATCATGCCCACGTAAACCCAGGGCACCGTCATGCCTGAGATGTCGGATTTGATATGTCTAAATAGACTGTCTGGGTGAAAGGGGAGGACGTTGAGATTCCATGGATCAGTGGCATATGGATTATTCGGATGCTTTTCGATTGTGGGAAAACCGGAACCGTGTGTCGTGCAGTGGATATCAGCGCCATATTCAACCTCGACAGTCTCTTCCAAATCGGCCACCAAACGCCAGAATTCTCTTTCCACATCTTCTTCGGTGACTGGCCTATGGCACTGGAGAGTCTCGTCAAAAGGCATCTTTTGCTCAAAGTAGCCCTGTTTAAAGTCATTTGCCTTTTGTTGAAACTGCTTCAACGAATAGAGGCCTCCCTCTTCGAACCCAAACTGGCCATCTCCCACCAAGCACCGTGGGCAGTTCCATTCGGCATCCGGTTTGCGCTTCAATGGAGGGTCGAGACAGGGACCGTGGTATGCATGATCACAGGACTCGCAAACAAGCAAAGGGCCGCTGTCTTCGCCCCGTCCACAGTTTTCGCATTTTCCTCCGGCGGCAGCGCCTTCTTCCCGGGGAATTCGTGGAACAGACGGGCGAAACACGGTCATGTGCGACCCGGCTACCGTAGGTACGTTGTCTTTCTTGAGGCGCTTACTGCTACGCCGACTTGCGCTGTCAGCATCATCTCTGTCGGTATCCGCCTCCTTCTTGATTGCGTCTGCCGGGCTCGCGGTGCCTAACTGGCGCTTCAGCGCAGCAGCTGAGCCAAGGCCAGATGGTCGAGCCTCGGGGGTGTTCCTCGCAGAAGTGGCAGGACTGTCGTATCGTTTGGGGTCTGGTGTGTAACTCTTGTTCTCGCCATTGGTAGGACGATTTACACTAGTAAATCCCGAGTTGACTGCCGTGAAACCGCTGCTGGTATTAATAGCCGTGAATCCACCAGAAGTAGGAGCTACTGGCGGCGCATCGGCCATGGGCGTATCTCGATCCACTTCCTTTTTGTTACCAACGCTGTTCTGGAGGGCATCTGACGCTTGCCGAGCAGGCGATGTCCCTCGGACACTGCTCGGAGTGTTGGCAGAGGATCGCTTGATTGGTGTCTGTGCGGGGCTGGGGGTCAAAGGACCGCCGTACTCCTGTTCGAGTTGCTGGTGTACTCCGGGTTTTGCCAGGCGTAGATACTCTTCATACGGACAGAGCCATCGTTGGAAAGAATTCTTGAGCGATGTGGACAAGGATGACATGATCTTGCCACTATAGCCAAGATCTCTTCCAATCTCGGCCCATTTCTTCAGCTTGCACACCTTGTCAAACCCGCCTCTGGATTCAACAGCTTTTTTCAAGCGATACAGATCCAGGGGTTTCTTGTCGACATATGGTAAGCGATGAAGGTTGCTTCCCTGCTGCTTATGAAATTTGGCAAGGCCATCGAGATATGTAAGATTGGCGCGCGTGCCTAGAGCGATGGAAAAAATTAATAAGCAAGACTGACTCCGAGGATCATCTCTTTCTTTTCCTGTTTTCGCTTTTCCGGAAAGAGATTGTGTAATGGAAAAACTCACTGCCCTCAACAGAATTCAATTCTTGTTTTCGTGTCCGAAAGTGGAATTTCTGTCAATCTGTCAGTCGTTGCATCACTGTGCACGCAGCTGGCCAGGGTAGCCAGCACAAAGATGTGTACCTCTGTGTCAATTGCAAATTCGGGGTTCCATGAATCCGGCGGAATAATCTTGCAAATGCCATATTGAGAAGCCTCTGGTGCGATTTTATTGATGTACTGCAATGGGTCACGCCAATCGTCTTCTGTCGGGCAGTAGGTCGGTGCTTCCGATATGCCATGTGGTCGTGTTTTCTTCTTGAGCGGCTCTCGCACCGCTGTAGGCTGGCCGCGTCTCTCGACCGAGGTCAGGTCCAATGGCGCGCTGACCATGGCGCTCAGTGGCACGGGAGGATTCGAGGGGTGGTAGCCGTTGGAGTTGACTTTGTGCTTCGGCTTCGAGGACGAAGGGGTCGCAGACGCTCCAATCGCAGGCGAGCTGCGCGAACTCGCATTGGCACTACTGGTGACGGCCGCCGCTGCGCTGAGGGAGGCATTCGGTGCCATGGCGCAAACGGATCCCAGGGCTGAGAATTCGGAGGCGACAGGCGTGGTTGGTGGCAGGCGCAGGCTTCCGATGTTGTCGTTCGGTACGAGGAGGTAATAGTCGGCCAGAGAGGCTCATATAAGAAAACACCTATCGTGAGGGCACAATCCGCATCGCATCATGTATGCGAGGGACTATAACGTCTCAGGACCACCAAATCGAGACTTGATCAAAGGCAGGCCGTGGAGTTTTCTTGTCTAGATCGATATAGAGAGAACAAAAAAAAAAAAAAAGGCGAATCGTGACTCGACTAACAGAGGATGAGTATTTGCAGTTGGAGAGGAAAAGACGGTTATCTCTTTAAAACAAGTGGTCAAGCACAGTTGGAACATGGAACATGGCGCCAAGTCCCAACTAACACGAAGGGCAGAGCGCACGCCGCGGGAGAGACATACATATAGGACACAAACGGCGCTGGGGCGTTTGTATTGTATTGGAGAGCCGCAGACAACGATTCGATGGCAGGGCCACGGGAGCCGCAGAAGCAGAAGGCCAGCAACGGTGATGCAAGTTCTGCGAGTCTCGTTGACCCTCGTGGTGGTAGATGTCGGAGCGAGATTAGCTCTGGGAGTGGGAAGCGCACGAGTGGGAATATGGGTCGAGGCTTCCGGCGAGAAGGTGCGTCAGGACGTTCCTGGCGAGAGAGACGCAGAGAGACTACAGCAGTGCCGGTACCCAGTACCTTGCAGAGCCTGCAGGAGATGCGCCAGGCCAGGTACTGGCGACATGGCACGGCGAGCCACTAGCAAATGCCCTGCCGGACGAGCTGCTGCCAGTGCATGTATCCGTACCGGTACAAGTAATACGGCTCAGTACCTCTGTAATGCGCTGCAGCCAGCCCCGGCAAGAAGTAGCCATGTGGATGGGGCCATCCATCAGGCAGCCAATGGTCAGCCGCTGATTCGATGGATCCCAGGCGCTTTTTCGCTGGGCAAATACCGCTGCTACGCCGTATGCGGCCTATTGCTCTGCGTTTGGACTGCGCGTGCGGGTACGCAGTACATTCAGCAGCAACTTTACACAAGCAATGCTTCCAGTGCATTTTGTGCGGCGATAGGTACTCAGGACTTGCGGAGCCTGCCAGTGGCTCCCGACCAGGCTCCCTCAGCCCCGGAGGCTCCCTGTCCCGTCCAGTACTCGGTACCTTGCCGGTACTCTATATCCGTGGTCCGAATTAGATTGAGTCTTCTTGTGCATGATGGAGTGCATCTAGGCGGGCTCGCTCAGGGCCTTTTGGCTCGCTGAGCGGACGATCCGGTGCGCTCAGATGCTCCTCTTTTTCGCTGCGTCTGCCTCTCGTTCTCGGGCCCGCTGCAGTGCTCCCACCGGAGGCACCGATCCCGACAGCACAGCACGACGAGGCAAGAGGCAGCGCACAGCACGGAGGGGCGTGGCAGCCTGGAGCCAGATACAGATGAGTTCTCACGATTGCACTACGTCAGTAAGATGTTTCTCTCAACATTTACCTCTGGTCAGCCTCTGTCGCTTTTGGCTTCTCACTCTATTTTGCATTTTAATATTTTTTCCTTTGCGGCGTTTGCAATGGCGCCCTAGACGGCAATGGAGGTACAAGCACAGTTGTCGACCATGCAAGTGACACGCCCCACTGAAGACGACATCCTCTAGGCTCTAGCAGTCTCTTCCAATTGCTTGCGCTGAGCTGAGCCGCTTGTTTGCTCGCAGCCTCCCGCTATTTTTATGCCCGAGGTTATCGCTAGCAGCAGGTTAATTTTGCAAATGGAAGAGATTTATGTGGGCTGCGTTGGACTGACTATTGCATTAGCTTCGTTCTAATTCTTAAAACGCATCACATGTATGATGACTTCCGCCTCTCGTCAATATCTCGTATCCAATAGTGTCAAATAGACAGAAGATAATGAAACAAAGTTCATGGATAGCAGCATATTATACGACAGCTGAAGAGAAGTGAGGAAAAAAACATCATGCGAGTCAAGAAGCCGTCCAGAGCAAAAGGGGCGACACAGCAATTCAGACGCTGATCCGAGCGACACAACACCGAATTTCCGGAAGCATGTCGATCGTGTGTCGAGTCAGCCGTCAAATCCTTCGGTGTTCAAAAAGAAAAGCCCATCAGCAAGGGGCGCTTTTCCGCTCTAAAATACCTGGACGAGGAAAAAGACACGGAAAATTATTGTCGCGCCCGCAGATAATTAATCAGAAATGCCAGTCATTCGATGGAACCTGGCATTAATTTCCAGCAGTACTACTAGTAGTACTGCGCAGACTCCTACTCAAGCATAAAGTACATGCCAATACCTAAGTAGGTAGGTAGGTATGCTCCGGCCAGTCTGCTGCTGCTGACCACGCTACGCCCATGATTTTCTCCCTCCTCAGCTAGAGACAAATCTGATATGAGTGGTTGCACCGACAAGGGTCAGGCCCATGGTGGGCAGCTACCGAGCCAATCAGGCGTCGATGAAGTTGAACGGCCGTGTCCACAGCCAGTAGCTGGCGCAGCAGCCTCATGCAGAAGGATCATTTCGATGAGACATGCTGGTTAATGAGTAAAAGCAAAGGTGATTAATACCATGTAATAAATGACAGTTATAAAGCAGAATAAGAGCTTACTATAGCGGTAGCCCCCCGGCTCGTGCGACTGTAAATACAGTAATGGTGCCAGTTGCAGCGCATTGGCCTAAATCCACGTACTACCTTACCTAGGTACTAACTTACTCTCTACCTAGTACTTACTATATTGCCTCCATACTCCCTACTGCACCAAATGCATCAGGGCAATAAACGAGGTCTCGTGTCTCGTCAGAGCGCCTCTTGCACGCGCCTTGCCTGTTTCTTTCATTGTTCCGAGCCCAGATTACCGAAGCGATCTGCGACTTTGAGGCGCAAAACAAAAAAAAAATCCCCCACTGGCCTTGTGCCGTCATCACCCCACCTCCAAGCCTCGAGCCTCGCTGTTTGAGGCGCAAGCGAAGCGCAAATCATGCTTGGATCATGGTTCAGGAAATCCCCGGCGGTGAATGATCATCAGGCACCTCCACGTTCCCATGCAATGTGTACGTCAATGGCTGATTCATTATCATATGCTGTCAAAAAGAATACAAGATAGTCCAAATTTCGCGCAACCCAAAATCTACACTTTAAACCATCAACGCAAAGAAGCTCCGGAAAACCCCCCATTGGCTCTGTCATGATTCCTTTGCCGCCAGCCGCCTCTTCTTCTTCAGCAGCTTCTCCACTTCGCCAGCTCCGCGTGTCCGTAGACTCAATTCCTTGATCATGTCTCCCCATCGAATGTGCCCTCCGCATGATGGACAGTCGCAGCTGTGTGGTAGAATGGCTTCGGGGTCGTCATCGCTGGCCAAAGCACGCTTGCTCCAGCAGTCGAGGTGCCCCATTGCCTCGCAGCCATCATTGGGGCACATTGCATATAAACCTTGGTCAGGCTCCATTTCCTCATGGCAATGAGCACATTTGCCCTGTCTTTCGAATGATACCACGTTGTGTGCCTTTTCAATATACTCCTTCATCGGCCAGTAATCCAGAGGCAAAGAGTAAATACCCGATGTTGGCGATGAGCCATCAGCGGATGGGCCAAAGTCGCTGAATATCTGCAACCCGGTTCTAGTAGTGGTCTTGTTTGTTTTGATCCGGTCCTTCCAAGCTTCGTGAGCGTCTTTGCTAAAGAAATGCACGTTTAATGGCCATCTCGCGAAGCTTGGTACACTTGTAAGGAGGTGGATATTAGGAATGATGGAGTGAAGAGAATGCGGTGATCGTGCTGGCATGCCATTCTTTTTCCGCCGAGTCGCCACCGTGATGCGATCGTCTTTTGGTATATGGAGCGTAAGATGCGGGTTATTGAGCGCCCATCTTGTGAACCGAATATCAGTATCTGAGGCAATCTGCAGGGTAAGATACTCAGGCTTTACTAGACACCTACTCGAATTTCAAGGCTGCTACCGAGCTCGGAAATCCAGTGACAAGCACAATCATCTCCCAGGGCCGAAGACTCTCGCGCGATGTCCGCACTGCGCCGCCTTTGGCCTCGCCATTGTGCTGTTTGAGCCGTCTTGGCGGGTTTGGCGTGGATCCCACGTATATTGATTTGCTTCTCACTGTGGAGCGCAAAACGTAAACAGCATACAAAGCAGGCAGAGGTTTAGCCAGGCTTGACATGCCTATTGTTATTCACTGTATAGTATTGAGAATAATTTCTCAAGATAAGCACCAATTTCGGGCATGTCATGTCAGTGTAGGGTAAAAGGCTGTTGATGGACGCGCTTCCCCGAGTGTTTGCTTTGGCGATGGCTGAGCCGTGATGACTAAGCACGATTCACCTCGGGTAGCCTACATTGCAATAGGATCTAGGTATTATAGAAGAATAGTATTAAAGGCCTATTATCACTTTACTATGTAAATTTGGTATTAAAGTCCACCTGGCATTCGAATCACGCCATATCGCTGTTCTTCCCATAGGAAAGATACGTGTCTTGCCTTTGTCGCACTTGCACGAATTTAGTACTCCAAACGGGCTTCCATGCCTTTTTCTTAGGGAGACGTTATTCAGCACCCCAATCTCATTATCCAACACCCCAGCTGTAGCGTAACAAGGCAGCTATTCCATATATTAAGATACATGTGCATAACTGCTAAATCCTATTTTTAATAATAGCAGTAAAAGCAGCAGTAAAAGCAGTAGTAGCAGTAGCAGTAGTAGCAGTAGTAGCAGTAGTAGCAGTAGTAGCAGTAGTAGCAGTAGTAGCAGTAGTAGCAGTAGTAGCAGTAGTAGCAGTAGCAGTAGCAATAATCTGGCAGCAGCCCACGCCTAAGCTGGAGGGTTGGATAACAGAATTGGGGTGCTGGATAACGTCTCCCTTTTCTTACCGATAGGCTCGGTAATCATGTAGTTTCAGGCCAACCAGATTGCTGCAAACACGCTTAATTGCTGGCTCAAGCATGCTTTGAACGCTGCAATGGTGCTGGGAAGGGAGATATCTGGGATCTTTTGGATAGCTAAACCAGGTTGGCTTTTCAAATGCCAGTAGAATAGCTTTGAATTGTTTTAAGCTTTGGTCGCAGAATGAATCCGGAAGTTGATCTTGGTTGAGCTTGTGCTTGTCCATTCCTTTGATGAGCGCACCAAGAGTCATAGACGAGCACTCAAAGTTGCAGCCTTTGCTACCTTTACTAAGGTCTTCGCGCAAGTCGTGAAGCGCGCGTAGAACGAGATGAAGTGCACTTATTCGCTTTTGCTCAATGTCACCTAGGTGCAAATAAGTCAGTCCGGATCCTCAATATTTAAGTCGGAGTTGCATACCCAATAGCAAGGGAGGCAGTGGCAAACTCGTAGTCTCGAGCGAGCAATCACCTTCTTTCATAGCTAGCGCCGTCATTTGCTGGAAAATCAAGGATTCCGAAAAGACCCATGATACGAAGAGCCAAATCATAGACTCTCGGCCGTATGAGGTTGGCAAGCCGGGGCTGAGCTTCACCACCCACATTTGGGCAAAGACATCTGTTATTTCGTGGCACTTGTAATAATCTACGAGGACGGAAACCATTGCAAGGGTGTCCAAGTCGATGGACCGCGGCACTTTACGATGGTGGCCGTGAATAATGTTCATCAAGAGGGTAAACGCTTCGACGTTCCACTCCGTTGCTGCTATCTCATAACGCAGTTGCAGTCTTGTGTCGGATGTCTTCCGTGTCTCCATTTCAGTCACCTTTTCAGGACTCTCGAAAGTGCCATTGCTCTCTTTCCAGTCTCCGGATAGCATAGCATTAAAGACAGGCGACGCGAGACACAGGTGCCGTGAAGATAGTCGAAATTGCACTTCCTCAGGCTCACTAGTTTAGTTTGGTCAGTCCAAAGCCTTCAAGTAAATCTCATCCATCATCAACAGTGTAGCATCTGTACTGTCACCGGAAATAGGCTGAAGTGCTTACTTGCTCTCATTGAGTTCGTCCAATCCGCCCGGAAGTTTACCCTCAGACTCGGGCTTGGGATCGGCGCTTTCATCACTCTTTTCCTCTTCCCCTTGGTCGCCGGATGGTGTGACCGACGCAGATGGGTTCCAAATAAGCTCCTGCTGGTTTGGTTGTCGAAGGATTAGACACACGTCGCCACGAGGATCCAATTCAAACGATTGTCTCTTCATGGCCAAGTGGTGTAAAGATTTAGGGATGAATGCCTAATTCCAGTGAGGAAAGTGACAAGACTTAGAAAGATTACTTCGGCACAAGAGAGCTTCCCCAATGCAAAATCTCGGAGCCAAGTGAAAATGGCAAGATAGAGATGTAAGAGAGGGGGGAATAAGAAAAGAGTCGACAAACGGAAGTGAATGGTAGTCACTCGTGCGGGGTTAAGACATGTCTCACATGCTGTTCACATTCTAAATTAGGTGTGCGATTTCGGTATAATGTTTCCAGTTTTTGTTGTTATCTGTTTGGATGGTCCTTCAAACAGTTTGCCGCCAGCCGCGTCGAAAGTTGATTCGTCCACCTTACATATCCCCATCGGGCTGTACTATGCATGTAACTGGTCGAGGTCCAGGGTTTTGAAAAGGGAAGATATACATAATAACGTCGTGCAGAATTTTACTCTATATGTGTGAAAGTAATAAGCGAGATACGACGATAACTTTTACTGACGTCATATCAGTGTGCTCGTAGGTACCTGAGGCTCTGGTAATAAGACAATCACGATGAGAGGCTTCAAAAGCACATGCTCGGCTAAGCCACTTTTGACAAACATGTTTACCGGATTTCTATTGGTACATGACAAGATAGGTACCTAGGTACTAGTCATTAGGTATCTATGAGACAGATGTGCAAAACAAGCGTCACTAGGAGAGTCAAGGCCAGTAACTGATATCTCCATTATGCACGGCATTATTCCAGTGATTGCTTATAAATAGGTATGTAGTACTTGGCATAGTGTCCCTTGTAATCCCAAGATAATTTCTCCACAAACTCCCCCAATGATTATGTATATATGAATTATAGCAGACCCTGCTTTTGTAAATCGTAATAGACCTTCTCCGGCATGACATTTCCCTCGCCGTCCTCCATCTGCACGACGCTACCATCATCAATCTTGCCCCTCCTCTTTTCCTTCTGAATCTTCTCCCACAACCTCATTGCCTCATCAATGCCTGTGATATCCCTGAATAAGCTGGTGTTGGCAATACCCAGACATTTCAGACCATATACGTGGCGTGCCTCGTTGAAATGCTTGTCAAAGGCACGCCTGCCCATGTAGACGAAATTCCCACAGATTTCACAGGGGAATTCCACACCCAAACCGTGTAGTCGATACAGCCAAAAGGGAATGGGCTTTCCATCCCATGCCAAGGGAAGCTTGAGAGGGTTATAAATCTTTTCCTCGCCGTCTTCCCCTTCGCCGTCGGCCTCCTCGGTTGGCTCATGCCGGGTTTCAGTGACATTTAGGAGGTTCTCCAGCTCCTGCTGGCGTTCTCTTTCCGTCATACCCTGCTTACGCTCAACATTGACACGAGTATCGCTTCGCTCAGTGCTCATGGCGCCGGCCAATCGCTTGACTCTGTATTCACGCTCTGCCACGGCTCGCTCCTTTAGTCTGGTCGCAGAAACGGTTCCTTTACCAGATCCATTTGCTTCCGGTTTAGACCCTTCTTGCCGTTGGCTTCGCTGCTCAGCAGCCTTGATGTGTTTTCGCCCCGTGAGATGGTTCTTGTAGACGTTTTCGTTGCTGAATTCTTTCTCACAGTCGTCGCACCATATAGCGTCTCCCGTTCGCTGTTTAGCTGAATTCGACGCTCCCTGCTCCAAACTCCACCCCTCTACTTCATCCTTGGTCCAAACCTCCTCGAATTCCTGGTCGAAGTTCTGCATAATCTTGTCCACGTTCTCCAAAGGTCGAGTCCTTCTCATGAATGACTCAAGATAGCCACTTAAATCACCGACATATTGGAAGTATTGATCTGTCAGTTTCTCGTTTCGCTTAACGCCTGCGAAGCCAGGAGCAAAGTTGTCAAACAGCTCCAGATACTGCAGATACGTCAAACGTTTTACGTTTGGTAGATTTAGAAAGGCTTCGTGGCAGGTATTCAGATCAAAGAATCTTCCGTAAGCCTCTTCTCCTGAGAATAGAGAGTCGACGATGGACGGTAAGGGCTCTGATGGATCGCCATGTCTTGATAATTTGTATCGCTGCTCGGAGTTCTCTGCCTGCTCGTTGGGATATCTTGCGTGATGGTCTCGAACGTCCTTCCACTGGCGATAAAACTCTTCAAAGGGGTCTCCGCTGCCAATCTGCTGGATCTCTTGTGCCCTGTTGCCGGATTCGTCTTTGTAGATGTTCAGCAGATTCTGGGATTGTGCTTGAATTTGGTCTAGTAGCTGTGCGACTTCGTGATCGCGATTGAGTCTGTCGCGAATCTGCACCATGATGTATCATTAGCGTTGTAAGAAATGAAGCCGGAGGTTGGGAGAACTCACATGCTTGGGGTCCTCGCGGATGCGATCTGCGATGCCCTGTTCGAGGCGCTCTAGGTCCTCGTGAATATATCGCTGCTCTTCTAAAACCAACATTTTGTACCTTGCCGACGCTTGGAGAATTAAGCGGTAAGAAAGAGAAGAAATAGGCGCGGTATCAAGGGAAATCGTTTCCAACCAAGATATCAGACAGTTGAGTTGGTAGCGTTTGACGACTCCATAAAAAAACATCAGAGCTGGTCGCGTTTTGGAGAGCTGGGGGCAAAAGAGGCTTATCGGTATTGCCGGAGTATTGCCGCCACTAGAATCGTTATCGATCGAGCCAAAGTTTTAGAGCCCAGATCCCCCAACTGCTAACCTGACTTCATCCCAAAGCTGCCGACAGGTCCAGCATAATATTCTATCCTACATCATACCAGCACTCACATCTGCATCATGGCTGAAGGCGCTGGAGGAATTGACCGCAAGGCGGATGAGAGGATGGAGTTTTCCACCTCCAAAGAGGTGACGGTGCACCCGACTTTTGAGGCAATGTCGCTGAAAGGTAAATGATTTACTACCACCGCCTTTGCTAGCATTGCGGGCATTGTATTCGCTCATTTGAAGTCGCGCTGACGAGAAACCCGTAGAGAACCTCCTTCGCGGTATTTACGCTTACGGTTACGAGTCACCGTCCGCCGTTCAGTCGCGAGCCATTGTCCAGATCTGCAAAGGACGCGACACCATCGCACAGGCCCAGTCTGGTACCGGAAAAACGGCCACCTTTTCGATCAGCATGCTGCAAGTTATTGACACGGCCGTGCGCGAGACTCAGGCCCTTGTTCTGTCCCCCACTCGAGAACTGGCTACCCAGATCCAATCGGTCGTCATGGCTTTGGGCGATTACATGAATGTGCAGTGCCACGCTTGTATTGGAGGCACAAACGTTGGCGAGGATATTCGAAAGCTAGATTACGGCCAGCACATTGTATCAGGCACCCCTGGACGAGTTGCGGATATGATTCGACGACGCCATCTTAGAACGAGGCACATCAAGATGCTGATCTTGGATGAAGCAGACGAGCTCCTCAATAAGGGATTCCGAGAGCAGATTTACGATGTTTACCGTTACCTACCACCCGCGACTCAGGTCGTGGTCGTCAGTGCCACCCTGCCCTACGATGTGCTCGACATGACTACCAAATTCATGACCGATCCCGTCCGAATTCTCGTCAAACGAGACGAACTTACGCTCGAAGGTCTGAAGCAATACTTTATCGCGGTGGAGAAGGAAGACTGGAAATTCGACACGCTGTGCGATCTTTACGATACGCTCACGATCACTCAAGCTGTTATCTTTTGCAACACCCGTCGGAAGGTTGACTGGCTCACGGACAAGATGCGCGAGGCGAATTTTACCGTCAGCTCCATGCATGGTGATATGCCGCAAAAAGAGCGTGATAGCATTATGCAAGATTTCCGACAAGGTAACAGCCGAGTGCTCATTTCGACGGATGTTTGGGCACGTGGCATCGACGTTCAGCAAGTCAGTCTAGTCATCAACTATGACTTGCCAAGCAACCGAGAGAACTACATCCACCGAATTGGTCGCAGCGGACGATTTGGTCGCAAGGGTGTTGCCATCAACTTTGTGACTACAGAGGACGTTCGCATCCTCCGAGACATTGAGTGTACGTTCCAGAAGCTCCCCACATTCTCCATTTGACAGGCAACTAACAGGCGTGACTCAGTGTACTACTCAACTCAAATTGACGAGATGCCGATGAACGTCGCAGATCTCATCGCGTAATCCACTCTCCTTCTCGCACGGAAAAGATGCATAAGGGAAAAGTATAACTGCGGGCGCAACGTAATTGGGGCGAAATACAGAGCCGAGGACCAGGGGCAGGCCCGGCTCTTTAATTGTGGAGGAAAGGGGTAGCAAGTTCAATCAGGTGAGCAACTCCTCCTCATGACATTTTGTTGATTTCGCTAATGATATTGAGTGCTTAGATTGGTATTCAATTTTTTTTCTCCTTTTTGGGAACCGAGACGTGTTTGGATGATGGCTATGGATCTCAATCGGAGTATATGCTGCAATTGTCACCAGGTAACAGAAGTATCCATCAATAAAAGCTCAAAAAAAACACGCCATATTAGTAACTCGCTGGATTAGTACATGGCTGCACTCGTAGTTTCTCCCCATCACAGTCTCTATGCATCGATTATGTATAATAAGACGAGCAATCAGCAATGATCTGCGGATGCTGTTGTCGAGGGATGAATCGCTCAATAGCTTCAATTAACGCTTTTCCCTGTAAGGACGTTTTGAGACAATGAAGTCTGGTAACGATATTCAAGCATGGTGAGGCATTACGGTTAATGCAATTGCCAGTATGGCATTGGCCAGATCACTCGCTGATGTCAAAGATGTTGAGAAGAGTTGAATATTGCGAATGCGCTACTCTATTGTAGACTGAGAATATTTATTGATACATGTCTTTTTCTTCCATGAAGAGGCAGCGAACAGTGCTACCCAGCTCAACAATACCTGGACAGGGTTTAGGAGAGTTCAAAATGCTGTGAAAAAATTGTACCTCGGACAGGCTAATTTCCAAACTTGGGTAATCGACGAACAAAACTTCTGTGCATCGGCAACTGAGGACCTCGGAGACAAAAGGGCTCAATGTGAGATTGCTAGGAACGAATCAAGTGGCTGCATGCGTCTCTTATAGTTGAAGGCCTTAAAGAGGGTCAAAACAATAGAAAAGTGTAAAGTCGCTGACAGCCAATCAAGTAATCTTACCAGCCGCATTTGAAGGCCTTGGGGAGAGTTAAAAATGCTGTGAAGGTTCGGCCATTCGATGCATTTAGGATATCTAACTATAAACTCGCTAGCTTTACCAGTCGCATTTGAAGGCGTCGGGGAGAGTTAAAAATGCTGTGAAGGTTCGCTGGCAGAATACCCAATGCATTCGAGATACGAGATCTTCTGTCGTTCTTGCATCTGAGTTTTGTTTATAGCAACATTATTTGACTTCTTCTTTTCCTTGTATTTAAGTTGCTGATGAAGAATCTCGTCATCATTGGTGCCATGGACGTTTAATAGTCATGTCGCTTCGATGCAAAGCGGGCGCATCATCAATACTAGCAGGTAAGATCTCGGTTGTAAGGCAAAAGATGAGCGTACTTGAAGTCATCCGTGAACAATTGTTACTATAATCTTGAGATTGGCTCAAAAACAAGCATCTTTTTTCAACCTTCCATGTTGCAAGGATAATTGGTCCTAGTGTTGTTGGTAGTAGTATGTTGCACAGAAGAGGCATGTGATTGTGTCTATACACGTATTTGCCAGCACAATCAGATACAGCTCATTTCTCTGCTTCACACCCAACCAACACAAGTAATTTCCAAAAGTTCGAATCATGTTCGTCGCTTATAACAGGCTTCATACACTTGTCCTCGCGTACAGCGTGGCTGGCGATAATTCGCAAATTCGGGATCAACTCCCGGGTAGCGAGAGCTCTCAAGTCACAAGACATGCGCACATGCACCAACAACACCTCATTACGGCACATCTGATGCCAATCTTAATTAATCAATCGCGATATTGCAAAGGTAGCACAGCATGTGATCACACGGCATGCGTCCAATCAATGATTTTGTGTCGGAAAGATACGCATCAGATAGCCTGCGAGCGATGGACACCCATCTCTGGATTTTGCACAGCGCGTACAGCGCGAATGGAAGCAATCATAGGTAGTGCTACACCCTCATTTCGTAGATTTCGCCAGATTCGAATTGAACTGAAACAGACTGGTGTGAGACATCGAATGCGGTGGTGTAGTAGCATTGCTGCACCGTTCTCGTTGCGTCGCACTGACTAACACGTAGTAGGCATCTACCCGCGTGCAACGTCATTTTAAATGACGACTGCGACCCTACCGCGTATCCTTCCTGAATTGAGCCTCACTTTTTCGAGAAGAGCATGGTGAAGAGCATGGTGCGCGCTATATCGCACAGGCCCCCGAGTTTATTCGCTACCATGGCCGGTTTGCTGGGTCCCGAGGCGGCAGACGGTAACTTTTGCCGCTCTCGATCACCCCCAAGCTTGCCTCGTGGGAAAGGGCTGAGAGATGAGTCTGGATTTGGGCGAGGTACGTACTGTCCTTGCTGCTTCGTGTTAGTTGAAGCACCGCTCTGTTCTTGTTGGCTTGAAGACAATTCCCCTGTGCAGGTAGGTGCTAATTGTAGTAGCCATCCACTGCGCGAATATACATCAATGATACTAGTAGCTAGCAATTGCACGGAGTAGATTATGCCAAGCCCATACTCTCTGGCAGTCGCCCAAATCCTGCAGAGTAGCGGGAGTGCCAAAATGAAGAGCAATCCATATGCCACTGCAAGCTTTACCGAGTGGAATGCCCACCTTGCGGAGCTGCCCTGACAAAGAACGGATACCGAGATTTGTTTCGCCGGGTGGGTAAGGCAAGCCCCTCTCCTTACGGGGACTCGGGATGGCTCGCCGTCGCAATGTAGTGTATACTGCAGGTCCATAAACACGTGAAAGTGGGAATAGGAACAAGGCAGAGAACGATAGCAACAGCACAGAAGAGGCAGGGAAATGCCTTCCCCCTGGGCTAGGCGTTTGAAGGAGACGGCACGCAGCGCTGCCAAAACGCTTGACAGGTCAATTTCTTGCAGTGATGGACATGAGGTGAGCCGTCCAGCGTAGCATGCGTGCACTGCTGTAACAGGAGCATCATCTATCTGCATGGAGTTCCAGAAAGACTTTTTGATGTGTACAGTATCATTTGCGCGGAGTTAGAGCCAGTACCGGCGCAGGAGCTCATGTATGCCTGCTCGCTTCATGTCTGTCGCCCAACATCGAGTTCGTGCATCGGCGAATTTGCTAATGTGGGCCGTAAGGTCTCATTCTGGTTCATCTGCATATATTAAACATTTCCATCCACGGAGCGGGCTCCGGGTTGCTGGGAGAAGAAGCCGGCCCTGTGCCTACTCTGGCATGGAGAGGAAGCAGAAGAGGTCGCTTCGTTGGTTTTGCTGGTTTGGGCCTAGGTGGCCTGTAGCTCTTGTAGTTTAATATCCGCGGTCCT